CTCTGGGTTTCCCAGGAATTGGAAATGTAGAGTTGTTATCTCTGGACTTTCTCCACCACATCCATATGAGATAGGATGGGCTCATTAAGTTAGAAAAACTCCATTTGACAAAACCCACTAGAATTGTTAAGGCCCGAGGGTAAAGAGATAGGTGAGGCTGAGGAGGCTGATTGAGACACAGGTGATCTGTTCCATGCTGACACATCAAGATCATTTGGGTGCTGACTCCAAGTTTGTCAGTGATCTGTTATGGAACGGCAGATTCTTACGGCGTTACTTTTCCCATGAAACATACCACGATGATGCTGAGCTCCTACAATGTGCTGTGCTCTGTTCTATGCATTTCCCTGGCTTTCTGTTTGTCTCTATTTTTCCCCCTCCACTCTCTCTATCTCTAACGAATAAGAAAATCTCAAGGATAGACAAGGTAAATGACTTGCCCAAGGCCACAGATCTACTAAGGAGCAGAGGACAATCTAACCTGGATTCTCTAGCAGTGCGTTTCCTTCTCTTACGACTGCCTCAAAGCACAACTTCCATAGGCCACTGTATGTCTGCCAGCCCCCACTTTCCACAGCACATGCATCACACACAAAACCGCATATAAGAAATGATGATACAGTGAAAAGGAAAGAAAGAAATGATACTTTTCAATGTAGCAATCAGGCTGAAAACATGGTGCCCAAAATTCTCGGTGGGAAGTTAGGGAATCAATACACACACGCACAAATACACACCACATACACACACCTGAAAAAGACGAGGTTGTGGAAATGACAGGTTAATCTTTGTAACTGTTATTGTCTGAGGAGAAGTCCCCAGAGAGTCCTCGATGTGGTTTGCCACATGTGCCTGCTGTAGAAAAGCTTGCATATTCACATCAAATATAATATTGATGGAGAATATGTAGGTTTCTAGGCACTCACTGCAGTTTATTAAACGTCTGTAATGGTCAAGACTTTAACTCCAAAGAAGATGGAGAGGGACTTCAAGAAAGTAGAATTTCTGGTTTCTATCAGGAAATTTTTATCCATATTCCCAGTGGTGAACTTAAAAGGAAGTTACCAGAGTCACCCAGTTATTCAGCTACATTAGAGCTGAATAGGTGTATGACCAGTCTGCATCACTGACTCCAAGAAAAGAGTCTCTAATTTCAACTGAGGAATTTAGAAGGGTTTTATAAAGCAGGTGGAATATGAACTGTACCTTGTAGGCTGAGGGCAATTTTAATTGGCAGAAAATGGAGGAAATTGTATTTTCCACTTAGGATGCTGACATGGAAGGTGTGGGATCCTGTGATGTTTGGTGGGGGGAAGACCAACAAATGTGTTCAGAACAAGATAAGGGATGGTGTGAGAGGAGGCTGGCTATCCTATGAGGTTTGAATGCTATGATATAGTTTATTATGGCTCCCAGCTCTTCACAGATTATGTATCTGTACTCATTGCCATGCGACTTTAAGTGCCTCCTGCTGGAGGAATGGTCTTTTCTGCCCCCTTGACGTTGGGCTGAGTCACGTGACTTACCTTAGCTATGACGTGTGAACAGGCATGACATGTCCCACACCTGAGCAGAAGAAGCCTTAGGACCTCATTTCCAGCAGCTCGCTTGCCTCCCCATTCTGCCACCAGGAATGGCTGGCTGATATATGAGCTGCTGCTTCCACTGGGCTCTGGAATAGATTCAACCCACGGAACAGATCTACAGTTGATTCCACAATGACCCAAAACTGATGTGGAACCTGAGTAAGAAATCAACCTTTGTTATTGTAACTGAAATTTTAGGATTGTTTGTTGTCCCAGCAAAGCTGATAATAAATAGTTTTAACTTTATCCTGAAAGGAAATGGATTTTGTAAAAAGGTAGCAAAAATGTCCCCTTCTCCCCTCTCTGGCAGTCTCAGGAATTTCAGTGGTGAACAAAACCTAATTTTAATTTCTTACTCTATTTGGATTCTGTTGCTTTTTTTAAATCAGAGGCATTCTGGGAGAACAGAATAGCAATTAGCTGAATAGTCCTCCTTTGTAGCCACTGATTCAGATTCACCTGGAATCCATGTAAATCTGACAAATACCACTGTGGGCGTCCAACACTTTGTAGCTGATGGCAGCAGAAACACCACTTCCTTCCAAATTGTTGAAGATCTCGTCAATTTGTGAGATAAAAATACAGATTTCAAGTTTAAAGTTGAGCCTTTATTTTCCAGGAATGGAATATTCCATTCGGGCTCAGCAAAGAAATAAATGGACAGCTGTTTCATGCTGAGAGGACCACCAGGAAATGGCTTAGTAACGCAGGCCACAGCACTGAAATTTTTTTTGCCACCCATGTAGGTAAGTGCAGACAAGTTTAACCTTTGTGAGGTTAAGGAGAAAAATTTGAGAATACATTTGTTATTACTGCCATTAGAACCCGGTGTGCCGGCGCCGTGCCCTTTTTACTTTTTTTGAGCCACGGCGCCGGCTTTTTTTTTTTTTTTTGACAGGCAGAGTGGACAGTGAGAGAGAGAGACAGAGAGAAAGGTCTTCCTTTGCCATTGGTTCACCCCCCCCCCCAATGGCCACCGCGGCCAGTGCGCTGTGGCTGGCGCACCATGCTGATCCGAAGCCAGGAGCCAGGTGCTTCTCCTGGTCTCCCATGGGGTGCAGGGCCCAAGCACTTGGGCCATTCTCCACTGCCTTCCTAGGCCGCAGCAGAGAGCTGAACTGGAAGAGGAGCAACTGGGACAGAACCGGCGCCCCGATTGGGACTAGAACCCGGGGTGCTGGTGTTGCAGGCGGAGGATTAGCCTATTGAGCCGCAGTGCTGACCATTACTGCCATTTCTTATGTGCCTCTTGGTTGAACACCAGCAAAAGTCATGGTCATGTTGAGCGGGAGGGAGCAGGAGAGGAGGAGAATGTGGATGATAAAGAAGTCTAAAGAGGAGAATGAGCTCTTGAGTAAGTTAAACTTCAGTTACAACAATGGTTTGCAACCAGGGCCAGTGTTGTGGCGGAGTGGGTAAAGCCACCGCCTGTGATGTGGGTATCCCATATGGGTGCCTGTTCTACTGTTCCACTTCTGATCCAGCTTCCTGCCAAAATGCCTGAGAAAGCAGTGAAAGATGCCCCAAGTATTTGGGCCCCTGAATCCATGTGGGAGACCTGGATGAAGCTCCTGGCTTTAGCCTGGCCAGTCTCTCTCTCTCTCTGTTTCTCCCTGTCTCCTCTGACTTTCAAACAAACAAATAGCTAACTAAATAAATAAATCTTTTCCTGCCTAAGCAACTTCCACTGATTTCCTGAGGCCTTTAGAAGGGAACTGGCTTGAAAGTGGAGCAGCCGGGACACAGAAAAGAGTCCATATGGATGCCGGTGCCACAGGCATCAGTGTTACCTGCTACACCACCATTTTTAAATCTCTGAAGCTAAATTTCCTCCATGTGAAACGTAAATAGTAGTATTTCTCTGCCATGCTCATTTATGAGGGTAAAATGAGATAATAAAGGAGAAATATTTGGTGTTCAGTAGGTGCTCAATAAGTGTTGTTGGAATTCTCGGTCTTCAACTTTAGCTTTTAGCCTTCTGCCTCATCTGAATGTTTGCTCCCAACCCAGTCTGAAGCCCTGTTCATTACATCATGTGGATTTACTATTTCGTTACATCATGTGGATTTACCATTACATCCTGTCTGGACCTGTGGGATGAAATCTAAGGGCTGAGGCTCTAATGAGTGCAGAGGCCCAGAGGTAGGAACAAGATGGGCTCGTTCAAGGAACGGCATGCATGTGGCTTGGCTGAGTGAGCCAGAGAGGGCCATGAGGTCAGGTGGGGAGGGTCTGGCTGGTGATGAGAAAGGACTTTGATGTTTGCTCTGAGAGAGTTGGAAAGCCACAGGAAGAGTTTAAGAAGAGAAGTTATATGATCGTACGGAGATTTTTAAGCATATTCACTCCATATGCTGTGTTGAAAATAGACATCTTCAGAGGAAGGGTGGAAGGGAAGACAAAATGAAGGGACTTTTGCAGTAAGAACTGAGAGACAATGGCAGCTTGGACAAGGGGGTGTGAAGGAGGTGGTGGATTGTGCCTGGTGGCTGGACATAGGCCGAGGGGGACTAATACGAGTTTCTGACTAATTGAGAATGTGGAGTGAGAGAGAGAAAAGGGGGTTTAGGATGACTGCAAGGATTTCGCTCTGAACAAGTAAGAGGATGAGGGAGATTGTGGGAGGAGGAGTTTTTGAGGAGGGGAGAATCTTGTGTTCATTTTGGTGTCTGTAGAAAGCATGAAATGTCTATTAAACACCCAAGTGGAGATGCAGTAGGCACTTGGGTATGCTCAAGGGGGAAATCTCAGATTGACACATCAGTTTGGGGGTCAGAGACCTAGAAATAAAATTTAAAGCAGGGAGATCAGAGAAGTCACTGAAGGCGTGGCTCTGGGGCACTCCTGCAAGCCAGAAGATAAGGAAGAACAAGGAAAGGAAGCAGCGGCCCATGGAGGGAACTGAGAGTGATGTCTTGAAGCCGAGCAAAGAAAGCATTGAAAGAAAGAGGAAGGGATCAGGCGCTTAAGAATCTGCCGATAAGTTGAATATGATGCAAAATGAGACCAGCCATTGGATTTAGTAATGTGAAGATCACTGGAGATATCGACGAAAGCTGTTTGGGGGGAGCAATTTTCAGAATGAAAGCCTGACGAGGGTGTATTTTCTAAAGACTACAAGGAGGAAATGATTGGAAGTAATGGCTTTAGAAGGAGTGTTCAAGGAGATTTTCTGTAGAGGCAAGTGGTGACTAGAGGGGAAAGTAGGGTCAAGGGGGGGCTTGGTCTTGTGTTTGTAAGGTGGGTAGTAATTCAGCATGCTTCTATGCTGTTAGGGATGACCTGATAGAAAAGAAATGGTGTCCATCAGGAAACAAAAGAGATAAACGTGTTTGCAGATAAACAGTGAGGACTGGGATCCAGCGCACTGTGGAAGGGTTTGGCTTAGGGTAGGAACCTGGCTCATACATCCCCATGGCTGCTATGCAGGAGCCCAGCGAGCCCAGAAGGGAGCCCTTTAAACTCCTAGGAATTTTATATGTTGAAAATATCCCCTGTCCACAGGATTCAATACTACACATTTCATTAGGATCTGCTGTGGCTGGCCTCGGACATTTTTTGTTAACTAGTAGAATCAGAAGATCATGTGGTGGCTGGCGCCGCGGCTCAATAGGCTAATCCTCCGCCTTGTGGCACCGGCACACCAGGTTCTAGTCCCGGTCGGGGCGCCGGATTCTGTCCCGGTTGCCCCTCTTCCAGGCCAGCTCTCTGCTGTGGCCCGGGAGTGCAGTGGAGGATGGCCCAAATGCTTGGGCCCTGCACCCCATGGGAGACCAGGAGAAGCACCTGGCTCCTGGCTTCGGATCAGTGCGGTGCGCCGGCCGCAGCACGCTGGCCGGAGTGGCCATTGCGGGGTGAACCAATGGCAAAGGAAGACCTTTCTCTCTGTCTCTCTCTCTCACTGTCCACTCTGCCTGTCAAGAAAAAAAAAAAGAAGAAGAAGAAGAAGAAGATCATGTGGTGTTGGAGTAGGAGGATCAATATGACTTTAGAATGGCTGGTTCCCCCCCAGGTACAGTTATGCAAAGCAACAAATCCAGGAAAGAATTGCTGGAGGAGGAATTAAAACTAAGATTTTATATGAAAGTACCCACCTTGATCCTGAAAGAAAACAAACCAACAGCTCTAACAGCAATTAAGAAAGATTAAGCATAGAAAATCAAAACACAGCTCCCAAAAGAGTTGGAATCAATCACAAGAAACATCTTATGCACAGTAAGAAAGCTTTAAGCAAGTAAATAAACTACATTTTAGTTGGCAAAAAAATATAAAAAAGGTAGGAAGCTGACTGGCTGAGCAGCAGCAGCAGGAGGGAAGGCAGGACACTCAGGGACGGACACACAGAGAAGTGGGCATCAAGAGGACAGAGAAGGTCTCTCCTGGGAGCTGCTGGCTGCCCTCCCCCCACCGCCACAGCCCAACAGAGAGCAGTAAGCGAGCGGAAGAAGTGTTGGAGATTTGGAGCAGAGACCACGTTCAGTAGTTGTGGGGAAGTGCAGGGTTGTGTGGATCAGGACGGCAATCTGCTAGTCATGCCCTCGGAGGCTGAGAGTCCTGAGTTTTGAATGTGGCAGTGGATTTTCTAGGCACAAGCAGCTCCTAAGAGAAAGGGTGTAGAATTGAAGACGAGCTGGATCCAAGCAGGGTTTTACCAGGCAGATGTAATCAAGGAAAAGGGATTCAAGGGTGAATGCAAGTGACACATTTTCAGTGCTGGCCTCTGGGTGTAAGCTGAGTATGAAGAAAAGCAAAGACCTTATGAGGGTATTAGAGAGTAAGGGGCTACACTGTGGTCCTGGTGAGGTTAAAGAATTGCAGGGGTGGGCGGGTGGCACCAAGCCTAAGTCGCTGCTCGGGAGCCTGCATCCCATATTGAAATGCCTGGTTCAGATCTAGACTCTGCTTCCAAACCAGCCTCCCGATAATGTGTACCATGGGAGGCAGCAGGTGACGGCTCACTACTTGGGTTCCTGACACACAAATGGAAGTCCTGGAGGAAGTTCCAGGCTCCTGGTTTTTTCAGCCTGGCCCAATCCTGGCTTATATGGGCATTTGGAGAGTAAACCAGCAGATGGAAGATCTCTCTCTCTCTCTTTCAAATAAAACAAAAACAAAACAATAAAAACCTGATTTTTGGAGTTGGAGCATGGTAGTGTCCTGGGAAGGAAGGAACAGTGGGTATGAGAGTGGGACGCATGAAATGGCCTGCTCCAGGTTATGGCTGTGATGTAAGTGATGGCAGAGAGGCAGAGAAAATCATTAATCATTAACCTGGGTCTTATGTCCCCAGTAAACACTTAGAGGAGAGGAACCACATTGTGAAGTCTGCTGTGTCTCCCGAAGCATCTAGCACAGTGCCAGGGGTTTAGCAGGACCTCACTAATGTTTACAAATTAGTGTTGAATGAAAAGGTTAGGAGCGAGTGTTTGGCCTAGCAGTTATGATGCTGCTTGGGATGCCCATAGGCCCTATCTGTGTGCCTGGGTTCGAGTCACAGTCCCGCTCCCAAGTCCAACTTCCTGCTAATGTGCACCCTTGGAGGCAGCAGGTGATGGCTCAAGTGGTTGGGTCTCTGCCACCCATGTGTGGGACCTGGATTGAGTTTCTGGCTCCTGGCTTCAACCTGGGCCAGCCCTAGCCATTGCAAGGCATTTGGGAAGTGAATCAGCAGATGGGATCCTTCTCTCTCTGTCTCTCAAATAAAATAAATAACTAAATAAATTTTAAGGAAGAAGGAAAAGTTTAACCACTGAGGAATTTTTTAAAAAATCAGAAAAACAGGACTCTACTATTATTCTTTGCATTCCATCCCACCCCCAAATTTACTGCCATGAAGAACAACTAAAGGGGGATTCCTATCTTTGGAGATATTAAAGTAATGGTTTCAATTACCCAAGGCCAAACATAATATTCCATGGCAAGAAGTCATTTGCAATTTATGAAAACATGGCTTTGAACTTTGGCTGGTGAGTAAGAGCAGCCAGCCAGCTACTTAGCATCTACTGTCAGATTGACCACGTTGTTTGATAGCTATTATCAGATAAGCAGACACCCCCTGAAGGGAAGAAGATGGATTATATGAAAAAAAAAAAGCCTACTTAAAAATGACAGTGACACTTTCATTAGAAAATCCAGAGTCCTCCTCATAGAAACCTCACAAATGTAAAATGACCAAATTTCACGTTCGTTTTAGTTGAATGGGTTTGCTGCTTTAACCTGCATTTCAGTGTGCTGCAAGCATTGGGGGCAATTATGTTCAGTTCAGACTAGCTTTCGTGACAAACTCAGGAAAACAGAACAGAAGAAAGAAAAAAAAATCCTTTGGGATCATGATCTGGGAAAATAAAAAATACACTGCGATGTTTAAGGTAAATAAATAAATAAAGGCTTCTCAGAGAAAACGGACTGCGCTCCCTAGCAGTGGCGGGGTAATTGGGAGGCTGAGGCTTACAGCAATCAATCAAGCCTGCTCACAGGGAGCAGCTTCAGGAGGAAGAGAGATGGGACCTCAAGTTCATGTTCGGGCAGATCTCTGCCTCCTCGGCATGTGCCCCGCCCAGGGAGACAAGGTCTGCAGGGGGATCACACAGAGCCCGACTCCCTGCCTCTCCCCCTCCCCCGAAGTGGTCCTCCTCCTTGTTCCACAGATCTTGCTGATGGATGTCTCCCAATCCCCGGCAGTACCCGCATCTCATTTGGAGGCGACCAGAGGCGGCTCGGAGGAGACAGGCAACGTCAGGACACGCAGCTCTATGTGGTAGAGCAAGGGTTCAAACCACGTCTCCTGGGCCATGCCTTTGACTCCTCAACCAGCCCTGTTTTGGAGACAGTCTCATCTGAGGGGCCTTTGTCTTGGTTCACTGATGGTGCATGCAGCTCAATCACAATTGCTGTTTTGGATTTGCCATTTAGGGGAAGAGCAACTCCACAGCAGGTGCTCAGCTGCTGAATCCCCCCCCCCCATTAAGTCTCACGTCCACTTCCCCTACCCTACTTGTTAATTAATTTGAAAAGAATAACAGAAGAGACACATACATTCGTGCGCGCACACACACACATAGAGGGAGAGGGAGAAGGAGAGAGAGAGAATCTTCCATCCACTGGTTCACGTCCCACATGGTCAAAACAGTCAGGGCTGGACCAGGCTAAAGCCAGGAACCAGGAGCTCCATCTTGGTCTCCCACGTAGGCGGCAGGGGAAATCTTTCACTGTCTTCCCAGCTGCGATAGCAGGGAGCTGGATGGGAAGTGGGGGCAGCTGGGAGTTGAACTGATACTCCCACAGGAGATGCTGGTGTCGCAACAGCAACTTCACCCACTGGGCCACATCACCAGCCCCTTTATCTTCCCGCTGCCCTGGGTGACCCAGTCCTGGGCTGTTGAGCATGAGCCCACATTCTGCTGTAGGTACTTCTTTCCTGTAGCCAGCCTTTGCATTGGTGCAGGTTAACTTTCTTAAGATGTCAGCTTCATGCCTGACTGAAAATCATTCCCTGGAGGGCTGGGCGCTATGGCATAGCAGGTAAAGCTACCGCCTGCCGTGCTGGCATCCCACATGGGTGCCGGGTTGAGTCCCGGCTGCTCCACTTCCTATCCAGCTCTCTGCTATGGCCTGGGAAAGCAGTAGAAGATGGCCCAAGTCCTTGGGCCCCTGCACCCGTGTGGGAGACCTGGAAGAAGCTCTTGGCTCTTGGCTTCAGATCAGCACAACTCTGCCCGTTGCGGCCATCTGGGGAGTGAACCAGCAGATGGAGGACCGCTCTTTCTGCCTCTGCCTCTCTGTAACTCTGCCTTTCAAACAAACAAACAAATAAATAAAAATCTCAAAAAAAAAAAAAAAAAAAGAAAGAAAGAAAGAAAACCATTCCCTGGTTGCTCTCAGGGTCAGCTCAAACTTGGCTTGGCATTCAAGGCCTCCACAATAGGCCCGTATTTTCAATCTTGTGTCCCACCCTTCTGCCCTTGGCCGTCCCGAGTGAACATATTCCCAAATCTGACCCCCACTGTCACATTCACTTGCCCTCAACTCTCTCCATCACATACATGGCCCCCTCACTTCTGGCCCTTCAAGGCCATTTTCAACTCCTTGCACCTTTCCCCACCATTCCAGCCCACGGCATGTCTTCCAGGAAGGTTGTCTTCTGTTTAGCCGTGTGAAGCCCCTCTCTGCGGTCTCCACCTCTCCCCACTGCTCTGTGCCTGGGGAGCTGAGCAGCCTCTGCCGGATCCCTTACTCATCCAATACTGGACTCTGTGGTTTTTCTCCTCCGAACACCCACCTTCACAAATAGTTCCCTTAAAACAGTAGGTCCTCCTCAGATTGCTCAATTTGAATCTACCACCTGCTTCCTGCCAGGACCCTGTGCGCTATCTTTCTTTTCCTGCACAAACTCTGAGGCCTTATTTATTGCTCTAAGAGTTCATGTACCATATGAAAGACTGCCTTGAATTAATAGCTATTTTTCTCAGTGATTACATATTCCCCAGCTAACTCAAGTTTCCTGTAGGCAAGGAATATGTATTCTACCCCTGTGTATGCTTGAGTTCCGCCTTAGCACCTCCTGCCAACAACACTTCACAGGCCAAGCACTTTGCTGACATGGAAGGTTTTAAGTCAATAATAAACAAAGTCTTCACGGATCAGCCTTCAAGGATAAGGATAAGAAGGTGCCAGGGGAAGAGATCAAACCAAAGACTCTCAAATTTTTGCCATTTTCTTTATTTCCAAAATGAAAAAAATACAATTTCTCTCTGCCCATTTTCTTATCTGTAAAATCAGGATTTTGTAGCTGCTTTTTCTACCTCACAGAATGCCCCAGAATTAAACCATGCAAATCATATAAATAAAAGTACTTTGCAAAACTGTAAAATGTCATGCTTTATAAATGTAAGTCATTATTACTTCAAGTAAGCTAATAGCTGACCAGCTATGAAAGCTAGTATTTCAAAAGATTGATGAGTGAAACAAACTTCCAAAAATGTATGTAAAATTAGGCTATAAATTTGAAAATATAGTAGAAGAAACATCTGCACTCTGAAAGAATTTTCAGTGGGCACTGGGGCATCTTTTAATATCTTGTATCCCTGTATAAGGAACACCTACAGGGGTCAGCACTGTAGTACTGCTGGTTGGGCTGCCA